TTTCCAGCCCCCCGCCGCAGCCACTCACCATGATGGCGTTGACGATGTCGTTGTTGTTGTGCCGAAGCGCCCGCACGGCTTTGGGGCGCGAGACGTTGGCCTGGGCCATCACCAGCTCGATGTCCCTCACCTCCAGCCCCGTCTCATCCACCTGCGACGAGGGGGGACACGGCCGTCACCCCCCCACAGCGCTGACCCGGCCCACCCCCGTCCCTGCGACACAGCGGGGGTCCCTCCCCAGCACCCACCTCCTCCTCTTCCTCGCTCTCCTCCTTGATGGTGAGGGTGGGGGCCGTCTCCGTGATCAGGGGCGAGTGCTCCATTGGCACCTTGAACTTCTCCGCCGCTGCCTTGTGCACTTGCTGCGACAGATCCTCGATCTGCGGGGACACGGGGTCACCCACCCGGCCCCGCGGACGGGACCCCCCCGGACCCTTCCCACGTCACCTTGGCTTCCCCGAAGACGATGTAGATGTCGGACGCGGGGCTCTTGAAGACGTCGGGTTTGGTGATGACAAAGAGGATGTTCTTGGACTTGCGGATGGTGATGCGGGTGACGCCGTGGATCTGCCGCAGCCCCAGCTTGGACATGGCCTGGGGAGTTGGGGGGACGCACAGGGGTGACCCTGTGTCCCCCCGCCTGGCATCACAACACCCAGAGCAGCCAAGTGGGGGGCTCCAGCCCCCCAGCACCACCCCAAAACCCCTGGACAACGGCAAAACCAGGGATGTGGGACAGCACTGTCCCCCAGCACAGCCAGGCTGAGCCCCCCCAAAATGGGGCACCCCACAGCACCCCCCTTCCCCAGTGCCAGGACACCCCAGCGTGCCCCAGAGACCCCCAAAATGGGGACCTGCCCCCCAACACCCCAGGGCTCTCCCCGTACCCAGGGCTAATCCCCCCCAAACCCTGGGAGGGGATGGGGACCCCAACCCCACCAGGGGACCCCCCAACCCCATGGAGGACCCCCAGTCCCACCAGGGACCCCCCAACCCCATGGGGGACCCCCAACCCCACCTTCCTGGCCTTCTTCTCGCTCCGGCTCTGCTTCGCCTTGCTGACGGTCTCCTCCCCGGTGCCCAGCGAGTGGGTGAGCTGCGCCTGCCAGAGACGGGGGGGGGAGGGCCG